GGGGTGTCGCTACGTCATACTCTGGGGTGCAAGGTGATGCGTTCTCGCGACACCCCAGAATCCCCAAATCTCGCAGATCTTGCTCTCAAAGAGCCCGCATCACACGGCTATAGATCTGGGCAATAAGAATGTGATTTTTCGCATTCTTTGGTGTTGATGCGTTGTTCGATGATGCAAATGAGCTGTGGTGTTTTGATGTCGAGACGAGGGAGATGACCTCGTCTATGACAGAATTGTGAACCGGAAATGAGACATATGTTTTACTTCCGGTCGGGAACTGACCACGGGAAGAGCTGTTACGCAGAGACCATCTCCCGCAAGAACAGCCATAACACCCTCAGGCACATCATCAGCCAACGGCGCTTGTCTTGAGCACCCGTTGTCGGAGTCTTGGGACTTAGGAACACAAGCGCGGTAATCTAACGATCCACATCGACATTGACACCTCAGGCTCACAATACATATTCATACATTCATGATGGTGTTGTCCGAGCACGAGCCATCACTCTATCCCTATTACGGCTGGTGGTGTGCGGACATGACTCCGATGTGCCCCGACCAATCCCCCATCACCCTCATGAGACCTCTAGGCCTTCTAGAAGTCTTCTCCCGCACGTGGAGAAGAACACCTCACACCTCCATCAATTTTCTCTCGATCACGCGCGGGTTAAAGCTGAGGCTGAAAAGGGCAACTGTTGACGATACGGCAGAGGAGAATTGTGAGCTAAACAAAACAACGCGGTATTTTCTGGCATTTCGCCAAAGACATCACAGGGTGAAATGCAACTTGAGGTCTTGTTAGTTCATCAGCACCCCCGACAATGGCTCTCGACGAATGAGAAAATCAAGAAATCAGCAATTTAAATCCGTATTTTATCCCTCATCTCCACTCAAATCTCTTTTCGGATCCATAGTGGAGAAGATATCTCGAACGGAACAGTTTGGGCTCCTTGTAGTCAGCCTTGTAAACTCTAATGCAAACGGTTATGGTTGGGCATCAAAATCTGGTTGTTGCATCATCATTCTCCGCTGTGCCCCGATATCAACCAGACAGAGACGATTCATGAGATATCGTGAGATCAAAATGGATCCAGAAGGTCTCAGAACAAACTCCAAAGAACTCCAACAACAGAACATCTCCACTGATAAGAATCGTCTTGTTCCCGGCGACTTTACGGCGCTCCTCGGCCCCTCAATAATGCCTTTTTGCTCGGACGGGACCCTCATCCATCACCGTTTGCATGTCTCGCCGCGGCCCTTCTCAAAGCCATTGATATCAGTTGAACCGTTACCGCCTCTGTCGGTCCGGCAATGGCAGGGTAATTGATATTCCCTCATTGGTGCTGCTATGACAAATTAATGGATCGTTGTTTTGACTTTCACTAAACTCGTTGACATTTTTGACACGTGAAATTCCCGTGGCTGTGTCATATTCCTAGCCACGAGGAGGCAAAGTCGACAATACTGGGTCCGCCATGAGATTCTATCGATAATCGCCATGTGGGCATGCGTTTCAAGGTCCATTATCAACGGCGTGGCCGATGAGGGGACAACAGTTGGAGACGGTGGAGGATGCGCGTTACGATTCAAGTGAGACTGACTGCATCTGTTGGAGTGGCTTGGCTGATCGAATATCTGCGCTTCTGCTGGCGGCTCAGGGTTGTTCAGCCGCGTCTTGGAAACCTTAGATGAATTGGATACCGACAGGATATTCCCCTTTGAGAACACCACTCGAAGCTTGGACTTGCCGAGCATGAAGCCGACTGGGCTAACTGGGTAACTTTAGTCTTTAGTTGACTGTCGCCCTCAACTTAGTGCTTAGCTTAAGCCGATGTCAATTTCCTACGTTTTGGAGGTATCTCATGTACCTACAGGCTACCACCATTTCTTCAGCGTACCACGTGGTGAAGGTTCTCCGCACTCACCAGAGTGGCCGCCGTAGATTTTCCCTCTTTAGTATCTTCTGCCGAGAGTTTAGAATCATTGTGCCGCGGCCGGTAATTGATACAAGTTGGGGGGATGGAACGATGTCGACCATTGACGGCTATTGGATTCAGCCTTGGTATTGCTGAGATGTTGTGTTTACAACGCCAAGTTGACTATCATGTGCGACTCGTCGACCATTCTTGCGTGGGCGGCTGAATTATCGACATCCTATTATAGAGGCTAAGCATTGATATACCGAAACATGCCAGATATGGCTATAGTAAATGCCTAGACTCGCTATCTGGCTAATTATGTGCAATACCACCAGTGTGGTTTTAGCATGAAAGCCATCACATCAATCGAAGAATAAACCTCTCAATCGGCCCATACCAATACAATGTGCTCTGGGAACAGCTGAGGGCTTTGGATGGTGGTGTAGGCAAAGGTGTCTTCTGATGCTGTAAATTACCCAATGCACTTGGCTGATAAGACGAGATTATCACAGAACATGCAAATCGCTGCAGTTCTTATCCAGAGTCCTTGACTAATAATCGTTTACTGGTAATCAGCAGCCCAGCTGCGCCTCTGCTGAGACGGGCAGGTCGTGCATATCAAACTCTTGTTACCCCAGACCCCAGGTTTTACCAGCCATAATAGCCTGCAGGGCCCTGTGCCTGCTGGCATGGGATCATGCCACGGGGAGCCTTCAGCTTCCAGGCCATTGGCTTTCCATGTGCTTTGCTGTCAACTGTCACTGCCAAGTTGCCACCCCCTCCCGAGCCGACTCGACCCCCAAATTCGTCCGAATTTCCCCAACTTCCCAAACAAACGGTTCTGCGTGGGTTTGAAATTGAGAAGCCGAAGAACCCCCATGTTCCGGGGAAGATAGTAGGCGTCAGCCGACGGAGAAACTATGCCGTGCAAACGAAGAGGGAAGACCCTGATCGGATCGGAGGGCCGTAATGTAATCAAAGAGGGGAGATGATAAAAGATGGCAGCTTCTCCTTTTGGTTTGACAGGCGACATGTGATGGTCAGAGAGGGAGGCCTGGTGATGGGTTGATGCGGAGAACCTGGATGCTGGCCATCTCATTCATGCGGATGCATCGAGGGTCTGATCCGCGGGCCCGGACCATGAGCAGTTGCTGTGCCTGAAGGTTGGTGGTATTCCCTCACCACAATATTGAGGTGTCGATCTCACGGCCCGTGGCCATGAGGATGGTGGCATACGGGTCGAGTCGATGCGTTGGCACTCACAATGTGATAGTGTCAGAGCATCCCTGATCCAGAGTCGGTGTAAGGTTTAACTGTAATAACAATCGATCATATGAAAGTCGAGTGGCAGCCTAGAGTTGACATAGACTACATATCATCGTTGATGCAAATTACTCCCACGTGATGCCGAAAATGGACGTTGAAACACCCCGTTTCAGCTATCTCGGTCAAGAAAGGATCTGATATGATGTCAGAGACTTTAACCTTGTTAAAAACTCAATACTTGATTGCTTAATCTGAAACGGGCGGTGTTACTGGAGGGTGGCATAGGGAACATCCTCCGCGATGCCCTCATATAGATCTCAGATGACTACGGCTGTAAGGAGAGAGATCGTCAGTTAACGGTGCCAGTTACGGAAGTGAGACACAGCCAGTCTCGTACCGTAATCGACGAAACACCCTCCTTTGGTCATATGGCAAAGTATTTGTATAATCTTCCTGGCTATCTAGATATAGGATCAGGCCATAGGCATATCGCTTCTGCATAGTAGATACGGTTGCGATCACATATCATAGGTACGTCGACTATCACACCGACCTATTGTCCCCCCCACCCAATAGTGAATCTTTCTAATGATTTTGGAATATTTCTATTGGCCCCCTACTTTCCTATAGACAAAATATTGTTGGGCCAAGGGGTAACTGGTTGTGATCAATCTCAGGAGTGTACATAGTGACATAAACGCTCGACTCGCGACCAATTCAATTGATTGTCTTTCTTACTAGCCAGGAACCAACCCTCGATGGAATATGTGGCTCTACTGTTCCTAAAGTTTGCTAAATCGGATCGCCAAAAGCATCCATTACATCATAACAGGATCGGCGATAGAGATTCGATCTTCAATGATGTCAACTCAGCACGCGATGTCACTTTCTTAAGACTATTATACGAACTTGACTTACTAGTCAGTGATTGACAGGGTTATATGACTCGCAGGATTGACAACTTAACAATACAAATCGAATGGTTGTCCTGCTAGTCCTGATAACTCGACCATAGCCTGAGACCACAATGGTATCACCAAAGGTCATTCCCCAGATGACCAAACTCAGAACAAGCTCAAGAGATATGCAATGTTCTCAAGCAAGGTGCTTCAAAAAGCATAGTAAGGATATTCGAAAGTTTGGTCATCACAATGAAGTACACAGTCTGCAGATGCAAAGAAACCTTGCTGTTCAGGTAATAGAGGCGATGATATCAGCTCGCTTGGGTAAACCGAAATTTCTCTTATGTTTGATCATAACGCATAGCTCTTCTATTACAAATGCTCATTTGAATATTACTCTACTATAAGACCAAAGACGAATGTATTTATGCTAATTAAGGCACATTGTTATAGGAGGTTCAAGCAGGACAAAAGATCGCATGTGTGTTACCATAGCAGTAGAACCAAAGTGAAGGCTGTGACTAAATCCTCTCGATATAACGCTGTATTGGGCCTTGAGAGACATTAAAATTACAAACGCCAGTAAATATAGACTCTTTCTGTTGAGTCTTCCATCACATATCGCTGAAATCCTCAGCCTGATACCGACAGTATATCTGCCTATTTTCGCCCATCAATGTGCTTCTTACACCTCGCTTTCATCCATCATCCGTGGCGCTCAAAAATTTTGACCCTTGAACATCTTTCCCGAAATTTAATGACCAGGGACATTATACGAAATGTCTTTCTGCATGTGGTTTGGTGTATAGCACACCCAGTCCCGGTCTCTTGTAAGGGAGAGACACCAGTCAATTGTTTCGCAATTTTGAAGTTTGTGGAGGGGTTTTATCTCGAAATAAATGATTCTGAAAATTTATGCCTCCTTCTTGAGTCTCTTGGGATCGGCTGCACCTTGCTGGGTCTGATCATCTTGCCGTTTCTGGTTTCCGGGGCCATTGGGGGGACAAGAGAGGCCATTGTGCTTCAGCGTGGCAGGTTTAAAACTGCTGAACGACTTTGATTGAGAGCTGCCGTTGTGACTGAACGACCGTGAGCCCCCTGGCTGAATAGCACTCGCTGAGCCAAACGTGGCCGCCGAGCGTGCCTGTGTTCCAAAACCCTGTGCCACATTGACTTGTGAGCCTTGCTTATTCGCTCCGAGGTTGAAGTCGAAAATAGGATTTACATCTCGCGGCTGGTCGGTGAATTGGAAGCTCTGAGACGGCGCTGGAAGTGGTGGCCATTGATATGTTGACTGTTGGTAATAACGATTGTTCTTGTTTGATTCCTGTAGTCTGTTGTACCGAGACCAAAGGCTCTGGTAGTTGCGGCCTGCCTGTTCACTGGCCTTGCTCATGTCGGAAATCTTTTGTTTGGACTGTTCTGCATCTTTCGAAAGCTCTTGGATCTTCTTGTTGGCCTCATCGAGGCGAGCTGATTGCTCCGTTGCAGAGTTTCGCGATCGTTCTAGATCCTTCTTTGCGTCTGCAAGTTCTCTCTCAGCAAGTCCTCGGCTGTCTTTGCAGGATGAAAGCTCATTCTTGACACTTTGAAGCTCCATGGACAGTTGTCGTTCCTGCTGTCGAGACGCAGTGAGAGCAGCCTCTTTCTGAAGCATTTCCGCCGACGGGTCGTCAGCTCTCTCTTTCAAAGCTTCATAATCGGAGGTGAGCTTGACAAAATGATCCAAAGTCGCCTGCTCTCTTTTCTGAGACTGATCAAGAAGGTTGGAGGTTTGCTCCACCTGGGCCGAAAGGCGATGCTCGCGCTCATGGGCTTCATCTAGGAGTGCCGTCTTGGCTCGAAGAAGTTCAGTGAGAAGTTCAGCTTCCCGCTGCGAATTGGCTTGAATAGCCAACTCTGCCTTTTCGAGTTTTGCAGAGAGTTCTTTCTCCCGCTGCGAAGGAGTGTCCTCCTGTGATTGTTCTGCCGACATGACGACAGTTTGGGAGACGTAAGAAATGGGAGGAGTCTCGTCCACGCGCTGCAGAGGTGAAGGGAATAATCAAATGGTGAAGTAAGAGAGGGAGCGGGTAAGCGTAAGTGTAAGGTAGAGGAGAACAATAATGTTGCCTGCGCCACTGATTCAGTGACGAGGTGAAAAGACCAGGCTGAGCTGCCAGTGCCCGGCAGGTGTCAGGCAATGGAGCCAAACGAGCAGTGGAGAGGAAACAAATTATAGGGGAGCGGGTGAGTGCATGAGGGCTCGGCTTGATCGAGGAAGGATCTGAGTAAAACATCTCGTGGCCTTACCGCCTGTGGCCTTGAAACAGAGGTACCTCATGCTTCCCCTACTCCAACCCCCGTAAAACAACCACAGGCAATGAAGCCATGTGAAGTGCGCCCACCCAAGTGTAAACGTCTGAAAAGATTGATCTAAAGTTCACAAAACCGGGACAAGTCTCTGGTGTCTTCCTATCGAAAGTCATGTACTTGGAAATCATCATTGCCTGCAAAATGAAGAAGAAGACGAAGAAGATAGTGATAGGATGGACCCTCTTTGACCTGCAAGGCTTCTTCATAGTCTCACATGGCCTTGACGCAGTCCCGGATGGAGGCACAAATATAGCAGCTATAACAGTTCCTCCTAGAAGCAGATAGTTCTGAAAAATGGCGGACCAGGAACTTTCAAGGCGGATGAATCTTCCAGTCGTCGCAAAAGCAATAAAGCCAGGCTCGAACACCATGATTACGATAGCCACAAAAGTGCCTGCCAGCCCATGGATATCTGCGGCTAGAGGTATGATGTCCCCCCAGTGACATCCAAGTTGCAAGACAAGGCATGCTGCAATTGAAAGACGGGCTGCCTCTGGGAGACTCAGGAGGTTGACAATCAAGATCCCCAGAAGGATGACGAATATGACAGCATGTTCAAGGGCAGCCTCAACGTGTCTCCTTATAAAGCTGTCGGCTGGAGGTAGCTTCGCATCACGCGCTACTTCTACATCCTTAGCTGCGTAGTATTGAGCTACCCTGGCAAGGCTGAAAAACAGAGGCAAGCTAACCCCTATCGATGCCATAACTGTGTCGTGGTCCACATAACTTGTGAAAGTGCTGATGCGTGATACACATGCAACTGTCAAGATCGTGCCAAACGGAACGTACAAACGCCCCCATGGATTAGATCGGGAGGCATTATGCGGGTAAGCGAGCCTTGCGACCAAAGTTCCCGTTATGCCGAGTGCAACGGCAATAAGGCTGTGAAGTGACAGTCGATGTGTTTCGCCAGGACTCAAGGGCCGTCCAAGGTAGATTCCATACAGAACCAAGCTTGACAGAAGCGTAGCGCTACAGGCGACTGCCAGCAACGAGTGCGATATCGGCACTGCGAACTGGTAGAGGTAGGTGACCTTGTACCTCACGGGATCAACTCTGATGATCTCGAGGCGTCTCAAGTGTTGAAAGGCAGTATATGTAGAGTATGACCCAAAAACTAAGATTCCGACGGCGCTTATCCAGTCGGCAAGGTTATAGGGGTCAGTGAGGGCGTGGGTGAGGGTGTAGACAGCGCTCCCGATACGACCCAAGATCAACAGTAACGTCGATCCCAAGGAAACGGCGTACAACAACTTTGAAGTTTTGAGTTTATAGCCAGCCATTCGTAGTGTCATGACAGATCCTGGCCCCAGATCACCAAGCTGTGACGCAAAGTAGATGTAGAGGGGTTTGATCTGGTGTATCGGTGGAGAAAGAATGACGTTGGCTGTCGCAAGGAGACATGCCATATGATGTACGAAGAGTTCCATAGAGTAGAAACGTGTCTGAGGCAGCTCGTTGGACCATAATGCAAGCTGTGATACGACGCAGACTTTCCCTGCATTGTTCAGGGGCTGATCAACTCCCCATGGTGTAGTTCTCGCAGCTTGGACACAGGACGGCAGAACCACGGTAAGACCAAAGGCCATTCGAACAAGTGTGATCACGAGGGGCACAAGCTTCCGTAATTCGTCTTCGTTCTTGAGCCGTTCATGGACTGCTGGAGCATACTTGCCGAGGAGGTATTCAGCCAGGTAGTAAACATGCCAGTAAACAACACTGGACACGAGGAATCCAGAAAGAATCGTGGGGCCGTTAAAGTGTTCCATGGCTGTTGTTTCTGATGAATAGTAAAAGGCTTTTGAGGAGCATTCCTAAAGTTGAGTGTGTAAAGATGAAGAACCCCAAACGTCCCCGAGATAACACCTGTCCTTGTTTACCGATTTAACCTTTGGTAAACAAAAGCCCCGAAACTCTACGTGCTCTTGACACGTAGGTAATGGCTGGCTGAACTGCTTATAAATTCCAGATGTATTGCGTGAGATGTCGTAATTGAATTTCCTTCATCCTTGCAACTGTTCAATCATGGCAAACACGATGACTGAAAAGATCGAGGAGGTCGCTGGAGACGAAGTCCAAGAACAACATGGAGATAAAGTAGAGCTCAGTCACACTCGAAAGTTGAGTATCCTGATTGTGATGAATACGGTTTCTCTTGTTCAGTCATTCGATGCGACCTGCATCTGCGTTGTCCTTCCTGTAAGTTTACCCCTCCCTCCCAGTTGTGAAGCCGTCACCAACACATATCCAGTCACTCGCAAGAGAACTGAATGCATCCTTTTCCGAAAGCCTGAGCATGGGCTCCGTGTTCCTGTTAGCAACAGCTATAGCCCAGCCCATCTTTGCCGAAATGGCACATGTCGTCGGCAGAAGGCCAGCATATGTGGCATCCCTCGTCGTATTTATCGCTGGAACAGTGCTCTGCGGCTCTGCGGAAAGCAGCATAATGCTTCTTACAGGTCGAGCTGTGCAAGGAGTAGGATCAGGAGGACCTCAGGCATTGTCGGGTATAATCCACGCCGATATGTTCACGATCCGTGAACGTTCGCGGTGGATGTCGTATCAACATGTGTCTTGGGCTTTAGGAACTATTGCTGGACCCATAATTGGAGGAGCCGTTGTTCAGAATAAAGATTCGCAATGGGTTTGTATCCCTTATTGCCATACCACATGCTCCGATGCTAATCGTCTCAGAGATGGATCTTTTGGTGCACCCTTCCATTGCTCGGAGGTAGTCTGATAGGAGCCATGTTTCTCCTAGGATATGACAAAGGGAAGCGAAACCTGCATCTCATCAAGAACCTCGACTGGATGGGAATTCTTCTTTATATCATCGCGAGTGTCAGTCTTTTACTGCCTCTGACTTGGGGTGGCTCACGCTTCCCCTGGAACTCACCGGCAGTAATCGCTCCTCTAGTCGTTTCGTTCCTCGCATTCCTAGGGCTGGGACTTTACGAGAAGACGACTAAAAAGCCCATGTTTCGAAAGAGTTTGTTCCGTCATCGATCGACAGTCCTCCAGTTTGCCAGTGCCACTATCCACGGCAGTCTCATGTGGATGGTTCTTTATTATCTTGCCGTGTACTTTCTTGCCCTCAAAGGCCTGACACCGCTTATGGCTGGTGTATGGGCACTTCCGGCTACTGTCATTGTTGCCCCTATGGCGGCTGTCGTAGGGATTGTGGCATACAAGACAGGACGATACATGGGCTTCTTGCTTGGTGGTTGGACTCTTATGGTCACCATGTTTGGAGTTATGACAATTCTTGACAAGGACACCCCTACGTGGGTGATCTTGGTCATGACCCTGTTCCTGGGTATCGCAATGGGCCTACTTATTCCAGTCATGAACATTGGTGTGCAAGCCACAGTCCGAGAGGAGGATGCTGGACATGCAATCAGCATGATCTATCTGCTTCGAACGATGGGCCAGTGCATGGGAATAGCCATTGGTATCGCGGTCTTCTCTGTTCAACTGGAAAAAGAGCTCGGAAAGTTAGGCCTCGACACAGGTCAGATCAGCAATACCTTGAAGATGATCAAAGCCTCTGTCGAATATGGAGGCCTTGGCCAGCACGAGTACATGATGAACGCCGTGGCGAAAGCGTTGCAGTGTCTCTGGATAACAGGTAGCATCTTGGCCGGCCTAGCCTTGATCCTGTGTCTGTTCGCAAGGTGCCCGAAACTTCCAGAGGATCCGCATGGCCCAGTCAGTGCAGAGCTGATGCCGGAAAGTCGTTTCTCGGATGCCGCTATAGGGCGGGTCTGGTATTGTTTCTCTGGCAAGATTCTCCATAAGGCTACGGAGCAATCAAACCAGAGGCACAGTGGTTCATCCGTCCCGAATTAGCCAAGCGGATGCTCGTCTGTTGGTGATGCCCAACATATCCCCCTTGCTTTAGCCGCGATATCGATGGAGTTCCAAGACAATGGGAAGCGAAGCCAAGGGTCGAGATGAGTCTCGTCGATCGTTTGAGCACTCCCAGGGATTGAAGCCCAAATCCACGCCGTTCTTTCTATTATACCCATGCACTGTTGTCTTGACGGAGCAACTGTGTTGACAAGATCCAATCAGGGTATCCGCTGAAGCCTAAGGAATTCGCCTATTCGTTACCAATGCAAAAATTCCTCCTGGGGTTGACGGTCTCACGGGTTAGCCTCCGACAGCAGTTGAGATACGATAGCGGGGACCATGGGTTGAGAGACCCGGGGTGCAGAGTGCAGCTCGGTAGTAAGTATGTATCATCAGATCAGGGAGGCGAGTTGACGATTGAGGTTGGGGGTCATACACAAGCAATTATCGACCCCGGGATGATGAGTTTAGGCTAAAGGGCTCTGGAACGCGAATTGGTTTCAATGGTGAATCTAGAGTTTTAATGTTTTGATTTAATAGTGAATAGTTGGGAAACGGTACATCAACTGAATAGCAGTTGAGTTCCATATTCAGTCACTGTGAGATAGGAATGGATGATGTGGTGTTGAGTCTGTAGCTAGAAGCCAATGGTAGAAGTAATTGGATCATTATCCATAGGTACCTAATTAACGCAGTATCGGGATCCCCCGTCATCAGCTACAGTAGAAGGAAAAGGCTGGTCTTGAAGTAAACGGTCACCGTTTAGTA